AATCTTAAAATATTCCTTGTTCTCTAGGTTTCTAAACATATACTCTGCAAACTATTGTCATAAATTTATGCATCTTGGCCACTTACTTCATGCAAAAATTATTCTCCAAAGATAGAATACAGCTTCCTTGGATAGAATGCAACAACTTGCTGTAATATATGAGCGTTTTAAATAACGAGAGTAATTCTAAATTGGCTAAATTTAAAATCCTCATTATGTTCATTTCATCATCATATATTCATGACATTCACTAATCTCACAAGCAATCATTAATAGAGCTTATAGGCTTTAAGATTTCTTTACATACATTATTTTTAGACTCAATGTATTGTGTGCATAAAATTCTCATGTAAAAAAAAAATCTTTGTTGAATATTATTGATCACTTACTTTTAATTTTATATAGCTTGTTTAGGCAAAAATAGTTATGAAGATCACTTATTTTTATCATCCCAGACAATGCTTGCTCAAACTCCTATTTTGAATCACATTTATTCGTGCAAGCGTAAAATAGTCTCTATATTGTCTTATTACTATTGAAACAATACACATTTGAAGGAACTTTTTTAAAGATATATTTTTAGCACAATCGTTGATGAGTTTGGGGTAATGGAACTTCTTTAGCTTTCATCATTACTAGATCTCGATCAATGAATATTTTTAAAGGATGTTTAGCAGCCATTATTCGAATGAATGTTTTGAATAGTCAAGTGAATATCTTTAGTTTTCTTTTCTAGTAAAAAAACTACTCAAAATAAAATATTTTGTCAATAATTAGTAACTTAAGAAAATGTATAGAAACTAAGTTTAAATTGTCAAGTCGATAATTTATACAAAAAATTATAATGTTGCCGAAGCAAACATAACAAACCATTGTCGTGTCATCGCTCCAAAAAATTAATCAATCTCTCTGACTCATCAACTTGAACATCCCAGATAAACATATTATCTTTAGCCTATATTTTCTTAAATGTTTACATTAGAGTACTCGTATCTCTAATCTCAATTATAGTTATTGTTCCTTTCTCCTTCTGGATATAATTACATGCATCTCTTTTTGAAAATCTTATATTCTCTACTTCTACTTTCTCAAGAAGACACATAAATGTGGCCACTATATTTTTTGTTTACGCCATCGATTACAACATTGTTATTTTATCTTCGCTGATACTCTTATGTGATCTCAAAAGGTATTAATTACTTGTTTTCGCTAATGAATGATTATCTTTCTATAAATTTAGTAATCTTGCAACACTATCATGCTCAATAATAAATCTAATAATTCTAGAACAATTAGTCCTTGTGTTCAAGTTATGGAACTTCATTATGCTATCTAGATAAATACTTTTCTTAAAACCAACTTTAGAGCATTAATTTTTTTTTTATTTTATATTTTTTTATGTTTGAAAGTAAATAATATAAGCTTTTAAAACACTAAATTCTATATGATGCGCATAACTATATTAAAAATCATATGCCTTGTTTACAATGTGAATAACGGTGTCAAAGAGTTTTTCCATAATTCTTTTATGATATATAGGAATTGCATAATTACATGCATGTTATGGTATCGAGATTTACGCGTTCATATGTTTGTTACCCTTTAAAAATTTATTATACAATGAGTATGATAGGTATAGCAAGTATATCGTATAGAAATTGTACATGTATATAACCAGTGCAATGTCCATGGTCTATACAATGTTAAACACTTTATACTCATTGTATATGGTGTATATGTTGTGCATGTTATGTACATTGAACACGTTCTACTTGTTATACACTGTACACATTGTACAAGTAGCTGTTGTTTTAGATTTATCATTTCGACATACAAATGAACATATAATGACAAAAGAGTAAATTAAACTTACAGCTTCGAACAGACACATATGAACAAATTAGTATAAAGAAGAGTAGATTAAACTTATAAATTAATATAAAATACTAAACAACCTTAAGAAAAGTAACTAATGAAATTTTGTTGGAAACTACCGATGAGCCCAAGTCTATAACATCGTTAGCGAGGTTGATCTCCAAATGATACGGGTTAGCACTTTCTTGTTTTCCATCTTCAAGGTTATCACTTTGTTTTCTATTTATATTGCTACTTCTTCTTCTTCTTCAATTGGAATAACTATTTTTCTTTTCTTCTTTAGTTTGGGTGATATGTTGTACTCCCTCTTCTTTAATTAGATCAAAAACCCTAAAGCCTTTATATATTTGTTTCAAATTTCTCCCAGGTTATTTCTTACATCGCTCGACACTTTAAGTTTAAGGACTATATTGGACCGGGTATGGTCAAGCTTCTTCACTACTTGTGCATTTAAACATAAAAATAAATGCCAGATATGTGCCAAATTTGGATTGGTGTCTACATTCAGACTTTACACGTAATATTTTCTCCAATCAAAAAGAAAACACATTCATTGAACTTCTTCCTAATGCTTGGAGGTAGACAATTGAATACTAATATCTATAAATAATAAAGTTTTGCAATTTGCAAGAGAATAAGGCCTAAGGCCTAATTTTTTTTTTTTTCTCTATATAATCTTTATATAGAAATTGCTCTTTGCCTCGTGAGATTGTCCTAAGGTATTTAAGCTATTATATTCAGTGGGTTTGAATAGCGAAAATGATTATATGCAATTGAGTCAAATGAAGTTCGTGTAGGCCTAGGCATTGGATGGGCAATGTTTGATTTGGGTCAGGCCTATTTGAGTTTTAACTAGTCAAAGAGGGATCAAGTCAGGCTTGAGCTTAGTTTTTGTTACAATTTCATAGCAAGACCCGCTCACCAAATGAGTCGGGCTGGCACGCAAGCCGCCCACTGGCCTTAAAAGATTAGTTATTTTCATGCCAAAACTCATTCTCATTTCCCTTAATTATGGGAAAAAATCAAGTCAAGATAATTTTACTTAGATTTAACCTGACTCAATCTCTAAATTATGATTTTTTAAAATGAAAATAAGTTTAAATTTTAAATTTATTGCTAATGTATTATTATTTTTTAAAAAAATTAAAAAATTAATAAAATATTTAATATTTTCCATCGAATCACGTTTTTGATTTAAAATATTAAAAAAAATTGTGGATATGTGGCAAAAGTTTTAAATTGATTTTAAAAGTGCAATTTTTTTCTTATATGTTTAGGTGAATTTAATAGGAAGTGTATAACATGGAATACATAATATTTTAAACTGATAACATCTTGATGTGTAAATATAAATCAGTGGAGTAAAACAGTGCCAAAAAAAAAAAAAAAAGATTTACATACATAACCACCAAATAACTTCTATTTAATTGCATATCTAACAGTGGACTTCAATTTTTACATATTTGCCATCTTATCTCTGAATGAAAGTTTTATTTGAATTTTCAAAAAATATTAAAAAGTGATAATTTTTAAGTGATATGAAAGATTTGGTTGATATTAATGTAAAATTAAAATTTATGCCTCGAAATAAAAGAGAAATGAGGAATTAATCACCTCGAAAGCTTGCAATCTCGTTTATATTTCGAGCTCAAAAAGTGTGTTCGTTTGCTTAGTGAGCTGAACACGAGCCGTTCACAAACAAAAAGTCCTTTTGACAACAGTAATCAAGTAGCCATAAGATGTTAATGATTGGGGCATGATTTAAAAATTATTATTTATATTAAAATATCATTTGAATCTAATTTAATAATTTTTATTATATTTTCTTAATTAATACTTGTAAGTGACTGTAAATCTTTATAGCCTTGTAGTTAATTGAGTTTTTTTAAAAATACTACTCATCAAAGATATTATATATATATATATATATATATATATGCTTTCATTAATTTCACAGTGATTTAATTATGACTTATGCAAATATGTGGTTTTGTTATTTTAAAACGAGCCGAACACGAACGAACAAATCTTTCTTCATGTTGTTCGTGTTCGGCTCATTAACTTAGCGAACGAGTTGAACACGAGCTGTTCGCGAACAACAAGCCATTTTGACAGCCCTACTTGCAATCGTGAATTATAACTATGAGATCAGTCATTGGGCGGGCCGGACTTGGCGTGAGTCGGACTCATTCGGGCTTTGATTATGTTAAAGCAAGCCCAAGTCGAGCTGACTCTGCTAAATTTCTATATTTTTTATAGTAAAGTCTGCCCATTCTAAGCGGGCTTATCGCGAGCTCGGTCACATTTGGTGTTTGCTAGGAGCACACGTTAGCTAATGTTGGAATGGGCCCCACATTGTGCATCTTAAAGTCCATCATAATTCACTATATTTTTCCCATAATCCAGTGGTCAACATCTATTCCTGTAAATATCTTGCCATTCGAATCAAAATAATTTGCCTATATATTTAACTTCACTTGGGGCATTTACATGCACACCTCACAATATTTATATATTCATATAGCTTTTATATTTTCATGAATAGATTTTAATTCCTTAAAATTACATTTAAAATTCACTATCATCAATATTTATTCATAAATTATTATATCAATAATGAATTATAAATATAAAAATCAAATTTTAAATATCTATGTAAGTAAATTTTCATTGGTTCGGAATATTTCTCTCCAAGATCCGTTAAGAAAAGGAAAATACATTTCCTTATTTTAGGATTTTATTTTCTCGTAATTTCTCGTGATATAAAACTAGGGGTGTAAAGGAACCGAACACGAAAGAACAAAATGTGTGTTCGTGTTTGGTTTGTTTGAAATAAACTCGTGTTCGAAATTGTTCGTGTTTGTTTTTTAACGAACGAGCTGAACACGAGCTGTTCGCGAACGACGAGCCAGTTTGACATCCTAAATATTAATATATATTAATATATTATTATTATTATTATTTTATTATATATTATAATTTATAAAAATTAATTTTTTAATACATCAAGCTAATGAAACTAAAAAAATTTATTCACCTTCCCCTTGTTTACTTATCGAATGAATCGAACCCATTCAAAACCTCGCGTTCGTTAGTTCGTTATTGAATGATCGATCTGTAATATTAATAAATATTAATTAATAAAGCAAATTATTATTGCTTCTAGATCTCCTTCCTCCTCCTTCTTGCCCTCGCCGTCTCCATCCCACCTTCTTCCACAGGTCCATTTCTGCAATTTCTTTTCCGCAATTGTATTTGGGGGTGGCTTTCTTCCAATCCTAATAGCGGTGATCGGCGCAGAGGTATTGGTCCTACTGATCAGATCGATGGGGTTAAAGCCAGCGGGTTTTGGTGTAGGATAGCGACCGCAGTCGTTGTTGGAGAGAACAGAGATCGAGGGGAAGAAGGAAGCTGAGAAGGGAGAAAGAAAAGGAGGAAGAACATGAGTGAGTTGGTGGCCCGCACAGGTCGACATCAGCAGCGATACGAGGACGGGTGTCGCCTTATTGCTGGGTCCATCTCTCTCTTTCTACCTGTTACATCATCGCCATAAAATAATTCTTCGAACTTTGCTTTCATTCATTTCTTATTCATCTGGAAAGAGAGCTGCTTGCTTAGGTCATGAGGGTGTTTTTAATATTTTTGTCTGATGCACTATTGAATTGATTCGATTCATATTAACTGTTTGTGGATTCTTTCTTATTTTCTGCCACGGTGCTTCGCAGGTTTGATTACCGTATAATTTTTTTTTTGTTTGTTTTTTTTATTTATTACCTTTTAATTTTGATTGCTTCTGTTTCTTGCTTTCTTTTCATCCCGATGTACGGTATGTTAATTGTTTAGGTTAACTGTGGATACCATTATTTTCTTTATTTTTCTGTCTTTTTCAAACATGTCATGGTGGATGTCATATACCTTGTTCATACATGTGCTGAATCTAGCATGGTTTTATGAAGATTTTGGTTCAAAGATGTAACATAGTGGTTATGGATTACAGCAACAAAAGGTTTTTGTGCTGTTACACAATATAATTAATCAAATTGTTGAAAATATTAGTCAGCAGACTTTTGGTGAAGGTTAATATTGTAGGTTTTGGTGAAGCTAATCATTGAAGTTGTAAACTTGGTGCCCTTTGTCTTATCTTGCAAACAGGAAGGACTGGTGCGACTCAATTTACAACTTTAATATATTGAAGAGACTATTTTGTGAAACTGGGTCTGAAAAAATTTTGCTCCATGAAACTGGATCTACATAGGTTTCAATTTTCTTGTACAGATAACAATGTTCCAATGATTGATTCAGGCAAATGATCCTTGAAGCCTGCTTAAGAATTTGGAGTGCATATTCAAACAGCTTTCATGTTGAAAAGACCATAATTATATGTTTGCATGAGAAACATTTATTTATCCTTCGCTACTACACAAATTGAGTAAGAAGATCAAGTGATGATCATAGGACTATTTGGGTCTATACTATAAGATAGATGTGCATGATTAATCTTAACTTTTGTCTTAGGCTTTTTTTTTTATTTTTTTTGTTTAACAAGCAGAATGAATGTTGACTGTGATGGGTTCATTTTACCTTAAGTGTGATTGTGCTCCTGTAATTGGATGTATTTATTATGCAATTCGTATAAACTTTCCATATTGTTGTTTTAAACAAGGTTGAGTCATTTCTTATAATTTCTTTCTTAAAATTGCTAGAATCTTTTTGTGTGATAGGAACTATCCAGTTTGTTGAATTTCAACGAGTTTTGTACCATTCATCCATAAGCTGTTAAAAACATGATCCTAATTTCATTCTGGCTGCACCAACAACAGTCTCTGTACATCACTTTAAACTGTGATATTTGTTATCTCTTTCTAAATTCGAGTTTCATCTTTGTGTGCTGCTCAGCCTTAGAATTTCAACCAAAAAACTATTTATAAGACTCTCGTAGACAATAGAAATTTGATTTCCTTGGGGGTTTTATTTAGCTACAGTCTTCCTTCGTCTCTTGACTATTCTCTTTCCCAGAAATAATGCATACCAAGAAAATGTGATGCCTGAATCTTATTTCTTAGAAGCTGACAACTTGTAACATTGAGAAATCATTGTTCCAGTATTTCAATACATCAAGACATTTAAAACGTTTTTAATTACCATCCTCCTTGAGCAGTTTGAGGATTATTCTTGATGCAATGATAAGATCCCACAACTCTAGATACAACAGCTTTGCTTTGCAAGATTAACTTCTCCTTCAAAAACCATGTTTGGAAGGGTTGACTTGGGCGAAGTTACATTAACTAAAGTGCTATAACAGTTTTGTGACTATTGGAATATTAAAAACCATCTAGTGCTTTGGGAGATTGCTTGTGATAGGAAGCGAGGTCAGGCTTAGTGGTGTCTATATTGGTAGCGCTCTAAGGCAATAACCTAGCAGGCTTGGAGGCAGTGAAATAGATTGGGTTAGGAGTTGATGACAAAGGATTAGAGATGTTTTGTAGATCATATGCAATGCTAGACACCAAATTTGGAGGCATCAACCAATGTGAGGCTCACACTCAGCGATAAATACAATCTCCTCTGTTCCTTTGGCACACATTCATGATCTTCTTATAGCATAGGAAATTTTACTTAATGGATGAAAGGAGGAAGAAGGCCCTCCATTACCTTGGTGCATTCACCGTATGTTGCTTTTACTCCTACCCCTTGTACATAGACGAAAAGCATGGTATGCTCCATTCTAGAATATCAAAGCAATTGATTCCTTCTAATGAAGTATATCAATCATGGGCATATCCTTGCAGTGATGATAACTTAATGTGAATTATATTAGATCAATATGAAAAAGTTTGAGAGTCTATACTTTCTCGCTCAAATCTAGTGAAAACTAAAACCATTACCCTCAAAGAAAAAATATAAATTTTTTATTGTATAATAAGAAGCATGTAAAAATAAATAGCGCAGATTGAAGTGAACCCTAGGCTTTATAATAATTCGTAGAATTCAAAGGCTTCTTGAACTTTTATGAGCAAACTAGGGCACATTGGTAGCAAATATAAGCTCTCGGCCAGTGCATCAATGTTTTAGGCACATGTTATGTAATGTGCCATTGTACATTGGAGTATGACAGGGCATTTTAGGATGGCGATCCCATCTACCTATGATATTTTGGTAATGAAGTTATCATTAGGAATAATTGGTGCCTCAAAGAGCGTGTAGGACCTTTTAGGTTGATAATTTTTTGATCTTTTGATAGTATCAAACATTTATAATATCAACTTGCATATAAAAGTAGAGGCGCACTTGCTCTTATTTTATAAGAAGATTATTATGCCATGAACCTTGTCAATTATATTATTTATTCGTGTAGAGGATTTGGCTCAAAATATTGTTAGGTTATGAATCGAGTCTTCTTTGCCTATTCACATAGAAGGAATTCGGTCCAAGCAAATTTATATATATTAGTCATTTGGATTTTGATTTTCTAATGAATATACATTTCATTAGGGCTAGGACTTATATTTTAAGGGTCTGAGGATGATCTATATAGTTGGGATTTTGCATTTCTACTCTATAGGCAAGGTGACCATTGAGTTTTTCTTTAAAATGATTTTTTGTTAAAATGCTGGTAAGCCTTATTCAATTGTTTTGCATAAGATTTTATTAAACCTCATGTTTGTGGTTATTATTGTATCATTTGGACAATTGTCAATATTTGGGATTTCCCCACTGTGCTATCATATAGCCCTTGAATAATTATTGGGGTAGGGCTCCTAAGAACTTTATCCTTATAGGTAAAGCGTTGTGTTTGAAGATTTGGATTTGCATCCCTACCCTTTGGGTAAGATGAACACTTAATTTTTTTTTAATCAATTTTTCTTATAAGATATCTTAAAGGCCTTATCTAAATGCCATGTTAAATGTTTTGCAAGCTTTGATGTTGGCATTTTTATCCCTGATTTGTGATGAAATGGATTTGTTACATTAGATTAGATTAGAAGTGAAGACTTTATGATCATTCTATTTCGACAAAGGCAATTGTCGTGACACAAGCTTTATCAATTCCTCCCCGACATGTGAATGATTGGACCAAAAAGTGAGGTTTATATTTTCTCTGAGCTTATGCTCATTTTTTGGGTGTTTATCTCATCTTATTTTTATTCTTTTCGCTAATTTTTTAAATTTTAACGCAATAATTTTATCCCAAAATCAATCTTATTAAACACATTTATGTGGATTTTAAGTGAATTTTGATTGTACTTTTATCACCCTTTGCGAAGGAGGTATCGAGAATCATGTTAGGTCTTTGCACCATGTAGAGGCATGCATATGTAGTGTATGAGGCACCTCAATCGAGATTTGGTTCTTCCTCATCAAGTATGATGAATATGGGTGGTGCGTGCATGGACCACCTAAATGATTGGCCTTTGTGTTAGCATGGGCATGGGCATCCTGAGAAGTTCCGTGAGTATTAAAAAAAAAGACTATTAATAAAGTTCACTCTCCACATGTCAAGAAAGACCCTTATGGCGCTTATGTAAGGTGGTGAGGCTGCCGGTATACTCTATGCAAGATTTCAATGTGTTTCTAAGAAGAGGGGGAATTATGGAGAGAGAATGTGTGCGTGAGGGAGGGTGAGTGGAGATCAATAAAACACTTAAGCTAGGGAGATTGGATAGGGAGACAACAGAGTGATGAACTGGGATTCAAGTTTGTGGGATGAAGTAAAATGTAAGTGTTAAGGGCATAAAGTCGCTAAAGCAGTGCATGTCCTAGACACATAAAGGTGTTATGAAACTACCAAATTACTATTTAGTGAATGTTTTTTTCTTAATTTTTTAAATATTTAAGAATGGATAACAACCAAATTTATGGACGTATTCCTCTTGGTGTTGTAAAATTGGTGAATCTACGAACACTCTACTTGAACTACAATCTTCTCATTGGTATTGTTCCCCCATTAACTGGAGAGTTACTTATGGTAGAATTATTGACTTTGGTCCATAATCAATTTACTGAAGCAATTCCACCTTCATTTTGTAGCCTCTCATCTCTTTTTGAGCTCTACATAGGTATAAACAACCTTGAAGGTGGCATTCCTCCATGCCTGGAAACCTCCTCTCTCAATTCACTATATTCGAGTCAAATCAATCTAACAGGGGATATTCCCTCTTCTTAAGGGCATCAAATCAATGTTGAAAGAATTGCTCGAAATTCTAATAACTTACATGGAAACATACCACCATCTTTGGAAAACCTATAATCTTTAGCTATACTGGATCCAGGGTCTAATAGGCTTCGTACATACATACATACATATATATATATATATATATATAAGGGTCTAATAGGCTT